TATTCAATTTTTTCATTACAATGTATTAGATCAAGTTTTGAGTAAGAATATTTTACTATATATAAAACTTCATCCTTGGATCAAGAATAATCTTAAGAGCAAGAATGACATAGTAATCACTCCAATATTTATCAAACTTGACAAGCATTCTAGAAGCCATATCTCTAATCACATATTCAACATTACCCAAATTTTCGTTTAACGATGACTCAATATTTAAAATTTGCATAAAATACATGTTAGAAGTTGGATATGATAACCCAAAAATCTACTTTGTTATCACTACAAATGACTTCAAGAATTTGCGCAGCTCTTCCACCCTAGAACACTCTTTACTTGTAAGAGAATATTTAAAACTGGTATCATGTAAAGCTAAACTAACAAAAGCACGACAATATTTAAGTGCATTTTCAAGCATTGCATGTGTTGAGTTCCATCTAGTTGGGACATCTAACCTCAAGCTCATAGAAATATCATCCCCTCCATCTTGAACATATTTTTTAAATTAATCATCCTTGCCTTTAATGCCTTTACGTATTTAATGCTCTCCTTGATCTTATATACTGCATCAGTTGCTACTTTCAAGCCTTCTTGAACTATGAGATTCAAGATGTGAGCACAACATCTCAAATGAAAAAATATTAAGCTATTTTGAAAGTTCAACACATCTTTCAATATATCTTGCATATTGTCATTGGTTGAATCATTGTCCAGAGTGATAGAAAACACTTTCTTCTCAATCCTCCCAATCTATTAAACATTCATGCATTTTTTTAGCTAGTTTAGCCCTAGAGTATAGAGGATCTATCTTTGTAAACACAAGAATTTTGCTATTAAGTTTCCATTTCTCATCAATAAAATGTGCAGTTAAGCAAAGTTTCCCTTCAGAAGTTATAGCAATCCAACAATCAGAAGTCAAGCATATTCTACTAGGACTATTTGCTATACTCTTTTTAATGACATTAAAAATTCCAAACATCCACCACAACAATTTTTCTTGTAATAAGTTTAAAATCAAGATTCAAATATTTGTGCAATTCCCTAACCTGTTCATATCCAACTAAGAATAGGGGAGATCATGTTGAATCATAGCCATATAAATTATTTCTCAAACTTTGTTGTGATCAATTTATCTAGCTAAGCTTCCCAACTTAATCTATTATACTAGTTTCATGATATTTTAGAAGTGATAAACACATGACGCCAAAGGGTTGAAGTGCCTTAATCCTTACCACCAATAACAAATGGCTTTCCACAACTATTGCATGTAGCCTTCTCTTTGCCATCTACTAGACCAATTTTAGTATAATACTTCCATGCTTCATATGTACAAAGTTTTTATTTTAGCTTTTTAATTTGAATTATCTTGCACATAAGAGTCAGATTCAGTAGGTGCTAGTTTTTCCACATTAGCTTGATTATTTGTAGCACTAGTAAAAGCCATCCTATAACATATAATTAATTCACAAAAAATTAAATGAGTATAGGCACTAAGAAACATACACAAAAGCTAATGTGAGGAAACATACACAGATTTGGTTAGTGAACAAACAAATCAAACACAATGCAAATGAAAGAGGCTAAAGGAAAAACTTCTATGCAAAACAAAACAAACCCCAACAAAAAGGTAGGTATTAAGATTTAAGGCAAAGAAAAAAGAAACTTTATATACAATTCAAGACCCTATTTACTATTGTGTTGAGTGAAAACAAGCTATCTTTATTGTATACTTGTGATGAGTCTTAGAATTCCAATTCACTATAATTAATTCACAGCTTGATCTCTCTAACGAAGTTATACACAGATACAGAAGAACATTTAGTTCCATATAAACAATTGTAAGCACTAATAAAGCAATTCATTAATATCGTGACAGGAATAACTTAGTTCAAACTTGGTATTCTTTTAAATAAGAGAGGTAGAGCTGTCACTCAAATAGCTTCTTGTTTAAAACAAAAAGTTCGCTTTTATAACTTATGGTAGCCTATAGTTTAAATTTACTTTCAAGTCATGTGTATGTGTGTCAACAACAGCTTAAAAGAGAAAAGAATAATGAAAGCAAAAAATTATAAGAGTGACAAGAAGAGGAATTCATGGTAAAAAAAAAAGAAAGAAAAAGGATGAAAAAAAAAACAAAAGATAGGGAGAGAAGATCAAGAAGTTTGGTGTTCAGTGATAAATGGAAGGAATTAGGTGGGTTGAATTAAATGAAGAATTTGGATTTACAGTTTTTAAAATTAGCAAAGTCTGGTATATATATTTCAGCAAGAAGCTCATCCCTGCATAATTAACCAAACCCATAATTGTATATACAGATTCAATTCCTTGTAAATGTAAAAGTCGATAAAGATAGATATATCAGCTTTAAGTTTGGCCTAATAACTTCATCACTTTCTCTCACCCCTTTAAGGCTTCCTTTCCATATCATGACTCTCTCACACACATAAACTGTGGTCAATCTTATCATCTAATCACAGCAAGCGTGTGTATTAAGTAATTATAGACATTCACATATCAAGCTTTGATATGAAATGAAATGTATTATTAATGAAACTCAGCTAGTTCCACATATAAAGCACATGTGAACATTACGAGAAAATTACAAACATGAGCTTGGAAAACCCAACAAACTTACAAACCAAAAGTGAGCAAGAACAAAAAAACAGTAAGCTAAAACATAAAAATAATAACAACAATAGTAACAAAATCATAATCAATGTGGTAAGAAAAGACAATATCATATCTTGAAGCCCAAAACAAAATCAAGTATATGATTTAACCCAAGCCACTGAACTTGCACAACATTTCTCTACCACTCATACCAACCAACCCTTTTTAGCTTTGAAGTTAGAAATTAAATATGTTACAAGTTAGAAAGGATCAACATTTCCTGGTGGGTTCTTGTACAACTTTACTCAATTATTTGCATATTGAGAACGAAGAATTAATCAAATCATAGTGTAAGAAACAAGATGAGGGGACAAACCTGAGCACAAGCAAGACAGCGAGCATAAGATTCAATTAATGAGGAGCTCGAGTAGAAGAGTTGAGCTAAGGGGGGATCGAGAGATTCTGAACTCTAAGTTAAGCTGAGGTGAGCAGATTCAGAAGAAAGCGATGGCCAGAGTGGAGAGCTAAATGACTTTGGGTTTCCTTAACAAGCAGATTATGCAATAGACAGATGAACGAGCAAGTGAGATGCTGAACGACTGAACGAGCAAGCGAGAAGGAAGCAAGCAAGATCTATGAATTGAGAAGTTGAGCGACTAATGGACTGAGCAACTGTGACATTGATAGATTGAGGTACAGAGCAATCGACAAGCAAGGGCAAAGAGCTTGTGAGACTAATGAAGGCATAGAGCAATCGAGCAAGCGAGGGGCCAAGGGCAGAGCCTTTGTGATTTAAAACCATTTGTGAAAAAATGCTGCAGAGGGCTTGTCTTCAAAAGATAGTCTTATGTCCTTTAAAAAAATAATAATAATAAGCGAGTTAGCCTGCTGTGAGTTTAGATTATGTGACCTGGATTTAAATGAGCCCGTTTTTTTAACTTAGCCCGCCATAATTTTTCAGGTTGACAGCTTAAGCTCATATTATCAGCTTTAACCATGAATTGCTTCCTTAATAAGGTGATCTGCCACAGTATTAACTTCATGATAAATGTGCCTCTTGATAACCTCCCAATCTTGCCTCAGCAGACTTTAAATCTCCTTGATCAGACTTCATTCATGATGCTCGTGAGTTGAATCTCTTGTCACAGCCTTGAGTGCATTAGGCGAATCAGACTCTAAAATAATTAAGCCTTCGACTACCCATGTCCCATGCAACTTTGAGGCCTATCATCATTGCCCACAGCTTAGAAGCAAGGTACGTAAAATTGGACCGGTTATTAAACTGATCATGACATTGGGTCACGGGTTAGTGGTTCAACCAGGTTGAATCGAGGGTTGAACTGATGACAAATCGATCATGATTAAAATAATACAATTTAAATAAAAAGACATTAATTATAAAAACATTCAACCAAATTCAACCACTCAAAAGTCTAACAATAATAAAATACAACACTTTAAATATCTATCCTTATAATTACAACCCTTCAATCTTAAAAGTCTAGAGAAGAGATGAAGACAGAGCTGGAGAAGAGGCGGAGACTGAGCTGGAGAAGAGACGGAGACAGCAGAGACGGAGATAGAGCTGGAGAAGAGACGGAGAGTTGCAGACTGAGCTGGAGAAGAGATGGAGATAGCAGAGACAAAGATAGAGCTGGAGCCTAGAGAAGAGACGAAGATTGAGCTGAAGAAGAGACGCCAATTAAGTTAGGGCGAGAGAGGAGAGACACAGACGAAAGGCCAAACCGAATGCTATCTAGAAATCTGGATTGGACTTAGCGTGCTTTGCCTCTAATTTTTTATTTTTTGACTTCAGTTTTACTTTTTTGGTTATCTTATTTTCAAACTCAGTGCTCTAGAAAATAAAATAAAAATTCTCCAAAATGACGTCATTTTGGGGTTCTGTCTGAAAAAATAATAACCCAATTAACCCAGTCAACCCAATCGGGTTATCCGGGTTATACTGGGTTACACCGGTTCATTCCTTCACTGATTTAGGAGTAAACTCAGACCGAATAAGGAATTGAGTCATTGGTTTTTGGATTGACCCGATCGATTCGATTTGAATTTCAATACCATGCTCAGAAGCGAGGCTATCTTCTCCCATATGACCAAACGTAAATCCTGCCACCATCACTTCATTGCTATCCGTCATCACGCCCCCCACAGCCTCCTCTATTCAGCAAGTTCATTTCCTCGAGCAAGTTCATTCTTGTGGATAAGAATGTGACGAAGTCTTGAGTTACACGTGTAAGCATCTAGCAGGTACATAAGTTGGACGGACCAGATTTCCTTGACTCCTTTCCATGCAGTCAAATACAGGCAATCCCAATTCTTACGAAAGAAGCAAACTTGGCCTTGTAATGTCTTTTTTTTTTTTTTTTAATTGCCAGTTGGCCTTGTAATGTCGATTATATAGAACGGTGAGAATTTCAGCGCCATTGACGCTGTAGGCACTGCCTCCACAATGGTACTGTCTTCCTCTCCCTTCGTTGGACTTTCACGTCCCCCATCTCAGTCCTTCGTCAAAGCTAATTACTTGGTCTGTTCGCTTTCTAATCGGGTCGGCCCGGACTCGTTGGAGCCTGTCAAATCATGCTTCTGTTGCGGAAGAAGGAACTTCCTTGAATCTGCATCACTGGCAGCTACTCTCTTCCCAATTCGCCCCACAACCGCTGCTGTTCCTCGTTCTAATTACACGGTAATTGCAAGTATTCGAGAAAGTTACTACACAGATAAGATAATTGAAAAGGGACAGTCTTGTGGCTTGAGTTCATACTAATACTGGGCTAGTTGGATGGATATTTTTGTAGGATATTCTTAACGAGTTTCGTCCACCCAAGCCTGGTTGGTACGAGGAGCTGTATGCATCAATTCTGAACACTACCACTAAATCTTATGAAGCTGAGGTTCATCTTTTATTTTTCTGGGGTTCGGATTCATGTTGATGAATATTTGTGCTTCATTTTAATGTTTTGAGTTATTAGTTGCATCGGTCCGATTTGAGATTTGTTTGTTTGTTTGTTTGCTTAGGTTTCGCGTTGCAAGTTAGAAATCTTCAGCAATTTCAGGGACAAGGCGTGGAAAATTGTGGAGATTGGAATTGGTACAGGAGCTAATTTCAGCTACTATGCTAGTAATCCCGATGTTGAGGTTGTTGGCATTGATCCGAACCAAAAGATGGAAAAGTATGCTCGGTCCTCGGCAGAATCTGCTGGCTTGCCACCTTCCAATTTTGAGTTTATACATGCTGTATGCATAATATTCTGTTCTTCCTACTTTATTACATCTTTCTAACAACAGGAAGAGATGAAAATGCTGTAAAAAGGATGATGTTGATGATGATGGAGATGGCCATGAGTTTTAAGGTTGAAAATTGCTTTTGGATTCGACTAAAAGCAGCTAGATGAAATTATAATTAAATGTTTGTAGTTGACTGCTGTTATATATTGTCACAGTACTGAATTTGAAGCTGATAAAGCCTTGGAGTTGTTCCTATATTGTGAAGGCTTTTTCATGTAGTTCCTTTTCTACTAGTGATGTACTTAATGTCCTGGCATATGCTATTGTTTTCTTCAGCTTATTACCTGGTAGTTCCTAGCACCTGTAGTATTATCTTTGAAGCTTTCAAGTTGTTGGCTATATTCAGGTTGGGGAGATTATGCCATTAGATGATGCTTCTGTGGATGCAGTGGTTTCAACGCTTGTCTTGTGTTCTGTTAAAGATGTTTCTAAGACACTTCAAGGTAGTCAAATTTGTTCGGTCCTTCTTTTTATTTTTTCCCCCTATATTTTTTCGCCCCTCTTAGAATTTGAACTGCATAGCGGCCCTTATCATCACTGTTAAGGAGCAGATATATGCTGAATTTAAAATTGTGTATCATGGTTGAAAAGCTTGTGCTACATGGCTCTCAACTAATTTGTGTGATTATCATGCTTCTCCGGATGTACATCAGAAGGGAACCCAACTTTAATCCTAAACATGATAGATTCTTATCCTTTTAATTTTTTTATTGATCATGCACGAGTTTATAATCCAAGTGCATCATCTGAATAATTACATCTCTCCATGTAGAAATCAAAAGAGTGCTGCGACCAGGCGGGTTGTTTGTATTTGTGGAACATGTTGGAGCAAAAGGTGCATATAGAATTATCCAGTTCACTTTTGAAATCGAATGCTGTGGTTTTGGGAAGTAGCTTGATTTTGTTTGTATTCTTACTTCTGTTTGAATGGAGGTGCAGAGGGAACAGTTCTCAGATTTATCCAGGGATTTCTAGATCCTCTTCAACAGACACTTGCAGATGGGTGTCACCTTTGTAGGGACACAGGAGGCTTTATATCAGAAGCTGGATTTTCAAGAGTTGAGCTCAACACAGCTTCTCTGAAAATTGCTGCACTTATAAACCCCTTTGTATATGGATTGGCTTACAAGTAGCTTCAAAAGATTCTCTCCTGCCTTGCTGTGGACCTACTTTGATATATGAATGTGTTCTTATGTATATGTACATAGTTGCCTCTGAATTACCAACCAAGCAACGAGAACTTTAACATGTTATTTCTCCCGTTAGAAGTTGATGTTGGAGGAGCAATATTGCAAGCTGACATTATTGTCTTGTGCAGAGTGTGGTTCATTATCCCTGGCAGGTTTGAAAGGAAGACATAATTAACTATGGAAAGTGGTTTTTGGTTTTTTATTATCATGTAGAACAATTGAACGCGTGTGCTTGTTTATAGTGAACAAAGGAACAGGACAAGGCATGAACTGCATCTGAATACATACTACATTCTACATAAGATTCTGCCTTTTGCGTCTCGCTGTTTTGATAGAGATTACAGTAGAAAAATTTTATATGAATTTTTTTATATCAACTTCTGTAATTTAAACATATAATAAATATCTGATGAAATATGATTATCACGTAGTTGTTGTAGTTCAACATCACATGAGTTGATATTTCAATCAAAAACAAGTTGTGTGAAGGTTTTTTTCCCATTATGTTTACTGTTGGTTGGCTGATATTCAACTTAACAAGCATTTACTTGAATAATAACTTAGGCAGAATTTCATTGTAGAACCATTGAAGGGACATTATATCAAATTTGAATCAAAGAAATCTGAAAATTTACTGCAAGACCAAGGGATTAAATTAAAAATATGTTTTGAAGGGAAATGACCATAACGCCTTTTATTAATTATTAACGTTACTTTTTTATTTTATTAATATTATTTGTTAATTCACTAATAATACTTGTTTATTCAATAGCAAAACTTGTTGACATTACCCTCTATATATTCAATCATGGTGACTTGTTAAAACTTTAACTTAACTTATTATCTTACTAATAGTGCTTGCTGATTTATTACCAAAGCTTGTTGATAGTATCCTCTACATATTCAGTTTTGATAAGTTCTTTAAATCCTAACTTAATTTATTAATTCACTAATACTATTCATTAATTCATTAATGCTACTTGTTAAAACTATAAAAAGGCATTATGGTCATTTCTCTTTAAAGCATATTTCAATTTAGTTCCTTGGTCATGCAGTGAGCTTTTGATATTCTTTGATCCTGACTTGATAAAATGTCTCGTCCATGTTCGGGTAATGAAATTCTCCCAATAACTTACTAAAGTGAATGCAAAACATGGCAAAGCCATTTTTGCTTTTGTTGGCGGATTTCATGTCATGCCTCAACAAATTTGTCATTGTCATTTTATTTGCCTTTTTTGTTATATACAATTATTCATTATTTATGGACTGAGCCAGGCAGGACAACATTGAAAGTAAAACTCTCTTAATAAGTATTTGACACAGCTATATGTCTAGGTCTCGAACTTAAATAATTGATTAAGTTAGCACAACTTCTCATTAGTTGAGCTACGTACTTATTGATTTATTTGCTTATTTATTACTAATGCAAAACATATGAATTAATGACTTTTCTTTGAAATAAAATACTTGTCTTCAACACAATACATGTCCTGTAAGAAAAAAATTTGATATTTACAATGATTCTGAATAGATAATATTTGGATTTAGATTTAGATTTTAAATTTGATACCTTGCATTTGAAATCCATACATTTAAATTTTTTTTATTTCGATAGTTTAAAAAATTTCAAATAAAAAAGAAAGATGAATTGAGATTTACAATGAAAAAGAACAAGAAAATGATAAGTTTATTTTTATTTTTCAATCGATAAGAAATGTGAAGATGTCAAAAGTAAAAACATAAAGAGGATAAAATATTTAAAATGGTTGAAATATCAAATGAATAGAGTATTAATAAAATTTAAAATTATAAAAAAATTATAATTTAAATCTAAATTTTTGTGTATCTAGATAAAAGATTTGATCCAAGTCTAAATTCAAGGTCAAATCTGTATCAACATTGATATTCTTCCTTTATATTATATGATTTTGTATTCTTATATTTTTTTCGTCAAAATGTTTCTAAATGACTTAAAATTTTTTTTAAAATATTTTAATTTATTATTATAGATATATTTTCATTATTTGTTTAAAACTCAAGACATCCGTACATATTTTCTAACTTATTGAATATATATATTCTTGTATATTGAATGTATGATACATATTTTCTTGTAGATGTACTCTAAAATTTTAAAAAATTACCGTCTTCAATTTAACATGTATCCATATCAATGTCTCATATTAAAAAATATAAACATTGCTAATTCCTTTTAACATGCCTTTTAAATTAAAAAATTATGACATGCAAATGACCTATTCCATTCTGGATCTAATTTTAGAATTCTTCAATTTTGCAATGAGAATCAATTTGGATTGTTCAAATTTAATAAATTTTATTTTTATATTTTTAATAAATTATTGTTTTAATAGGTACAGAATTAAAAATAAAGATAATCTTATAATTGTGAATCTATTAAAAATATTTTTTATATTTGATTTATGTGCTCATCATGATAATAAGATATGAGTCATCTAAAACCGATTTTAACATTTAAATTTAAAATTTTTAACATGTAACTTTTTACATGGATTCTTGGATTTTTTAAGTTCTGACCTTTTTTTTCACAAAATGGAGTTCTGACCTTTTTACAATTAACTTTCTAATATCTTTGGTATTTAATTTTTTAATTTTGTTTAACATGGAAGTGGACCGCCGTTTTCCAATTGTCGGTACATCAAAGATGGGAAGGTATATTAATGAAGGGCATTATTTAGTAAAATAGTTTCAAAAAGCTGACATGTTTTTTCCAAATTTATGAGTAAAACCTATTATGTTCTTGGGTAAAAGAATTTCACAATATCCATTATTTTTTTAAAAAATATGTATAAGTCTTGTGGAAACAACTTATTTAAAAATAAGTCTTTTAAAATTTAAAAACTACAATCAAGTTCTTTGAGACCTGAATATAATTTAAAATTGGAGTGAAAATACATTGCTACCTCTTAAAGATAGATAGTAAACTCAAATTGTATTTACCATTCACAATTTGTGAGTAAAGCTTCTTAATTCACAAATTCTATTTCATGTTTTATAAAAAGTAAGCTAAAATTATATTTACATTCACTTACAATTGTAACTTCACAACTTACGAGTAAGACCTCTTAATTTATAAGTCCTATTTCGTGTTTTATAGATAATAGACTAAAATTATATTTATCACTCATTTATAACTATAACTTCAGAATTTATAAGTAAAACTTTTTAATTCACAAGTTCTAGTTTGTGTTTTATAAACAGTAGATTGAAATTATATTTATCATTCACTTATAATTATAACTTCATAATTTACAAGTAAAACTTTTTAATTCACAAGTCATATTTTGTTTTTATAAATAATAAATTGAAATTGTATTTACTATGAACTTGCAATTGTAACTTCAGAATTTATAAGTAAAACTTCTTAATTTACAAGTCTTATTTTGTGTTTTACAAATAGTAAAATGAAATTGTATTTATTATCAACTTACAATTATAACTTCACAATTTATGAGTAGAATTTCTTAATTTACTTACAAGTGTTCAAACATTTTTTCAAATTATTATATCTCTTTTCCACTACCTTGTATCTAGCTACTTTTATGAGAAGTCTGAACAGTGGACAATAAAAATTGACCTGAATGGTGAACAGTAAAAATTGAAACTTAAAGTAATGAAATTTTAAAGTGAATGATGAAATCTCTTTAGGTTACTCAGATAAAGCCTTTAGTGTGTAAAGCGTGTATAATAACAAAGAGAAGTAATGTTGATCACAATTGATTGTGATGATGATGAAGGATCATGGATTTTGCCCTAACAATTCCAAGAAGAGAGCGAGTGATATGAACAAAGTGAGCAGTTCACAAACTAATGAAGGAGAAGAACGTGTGCAGTAGAGCGATACAGAGCGAGCGGCCGCAGACTGATGAAGAGAGCAAGCTTATTGTTTAATTAAGGTAGAGGGGCATCTTTATCATTATAACCTAATTAATAAGTAAGGATAGTAATGTTTTTTCACTTTAATTTTAAATTACACTCAAGTCTTAAAAATTTGTTTATAGTTTTTAAATTTTGTGAGACTTATTTTTAAATAAATTATTTTCATGAGACTTATATATATTCTTTCTTAAATTTAAATATCACCAGTCTATAATAGGGGAGCTCTTGTAACATTATTTTTATTTGTTTTTACAATATTTAAATCTTTGATCTAACTAAAAAGAAATTAAGCCCATTCTACTTGGTTCAACCAACTAACTACCATGTTAAAATACCTTTCTCTTTTGACTGTGGATGGTGGCAATAATGATGCTTCTCCAAAAGATCAAAGTGCCGTTGAAGAAGCTAGCAATGACAACTATAATATACAGCCAACCTGCTCGATTGAACCAATAAACATTAAGTTATTATATTAATCAATTTAATAAATTTTTTTATTTATAATCAATTTAATCATGGTTCGACTATAATTTTAACTATTAATCTTTGAATAAGTGTTTTAAATAGTTTAATGACTAGTCTAGTATTTAATACTTTGATGACAATAATACTACAACCTAAAACTAGTGTTGAGGGTGTATTGGAGAAAGATTATGTAACAGCACGATCTCACCACTGCCTCCTCAGGGTCTTTTGACGGTATTGAAACCCCTCCCCTCACAGGGCCTAGTCCAACATTCACTACAGGTGGTACTGTGGCTATTCCTCACCCCACCCTCACGAGGGTCTTTTGGAACCTCCCCAGACTTAATAGTACCAGACTTAGTCTCAACTTCATTAAGGTGGTAGAGGTTGGAGGTTCGAGTCTGGAAAGATTTCAAAAGATCCCCGTGAAGGTAGGGTGAGGAATAGCCACAGTACCACCTGTGGTGAATACTGGACTGGGCCCCGTGAGGGGAGGGGTCCCAACACCGTCAAAAGATCCTGGAGAGGCAGTGGTGAAGCCATGCTGTTACATAAAAAAAAATCAAAATGTTACAGATTACATTTGACAAAATGGGGCTTTTTTATGTGAATATAAAAGCATCTGATCATGCATGGGGCTTTGTTTATATTTGAAGTTGCAAAACTAAAATTATAATAAACTAAAGTTTGTAAATTAAAATTAGGATAAAAATTAATAACTATAACGTGAGTTATATTTAGATGAGCTTCTAAATTTTACCTACAGCTAAAACCAAAAGTTTCTATTTTCAGATTCCATGTAAATAGGCTTCTTGACAAGATGTGCTCTTAACTATTTTTTTTATTTTTTTTAACCAAAACTATTTTTGTTCATTCAAACATCTTTCATACTCTTCAATGAGCTTTTAAGACTTAAACTGAGATTTGAATCACCTAAATCTCAGTTTGAATGTTATGCGAACATAGCACTTCCTTACTGTGGGATTGCATGCCTTGATAAGATTTGCTCATATGATGGAATTATAAATCCATGAAGATCTAACTTGAGTTGTTCATGCTCACTTGATAGAGTGATTAGCAGGCTTGTATGCCTTTTTTAGTAATAGATGAAGTTGGGCCTTGTGAAATGAATTAGGTTTAATGAAAGGAACTAATTTTTTATAATATAGCAAACCAACATTTAAATTCCTACTGAGATAGGTATTTACATTTAATGCATGATAATAGTTCAAATAGAATTACAAAAAATAACTTCATATAACCAAAAAAAAAAAGTTGGGCTTGATGTTAGAAACTAATATCCATTTTTTTTTAAAGAAGGACTTAATTACAGGAAAGAAAGCGTCCATTACAAAGTTGAATAAGGCCCTCTATTAGTCATCATGTAATATGTTGCAATTACATTAAATATTAAGGAAAAACATGTATAACCACTGTCAAATTGATGGCAATTTATTAATCTTTACGTAATTCAAATTCTTGCCTTTTTTAAAAAAATAAATAGTCCCAAGTACGGCATTTGGGACTAATTCCCCCCCCCCCCACCAAAAAAAAAAAGAAGGCAAATTGGAATGGACTTCCTGGCATTCATCGATGACTTTGACTTCAAAACAAAATGGGAATAGGTCGTCTGCCTCTCAAGTTAGTCTGCCGAGCAAATGAAACTGCATGTTCAACAAGAATATATTTGAAAATTCTAAAAGTAACATTTTAATTTTTTATTTTAAAGATAATTTTTATTCTTTTAATTTTAAATTTTTAATAACTGACTTTTCTCCAAATTTTAATTTATAAATTATAGGGAGAATAACAAAAAAAATACCCTTAAACTATGTAAATGATAATGAATAGAGAATAATTTAAAATAATTATTGCGCAATTCTTAGGGACTTGTGTGGCATATCAGTGTTTGATGAAATGACAAATTTGCATACAATTTAAAATTTGAAATGAAACATGTGAAGGACATTGACAACTTAAACAATAGAGAATGATAACTTTTTTTAGGTAAATGACTGAAATGTAATTGCAAATGAAAAAAGTGATAGAAAGACACAAATAATTTGTTATTAGATTTTAGTCATTTGGTTTTTTTTTAAAAAAAAAGTTGCATTCTCTATTCAGTGTCCTCCATATATTGCATTTTACTAATGAAAAAAATGGTAGAAAGATACTTATAATTTATCATTTGGTTAAAAAAAGTTGCATTCTCTTAAAGAGTCAATGCCATCCATATATTTCATTTCAAATTTTAAATTGGAGGCAAATTTATCATTTAGACAAAAATCAATATGTCAGGCAAATTCTGAGCCACCACATAATTATTATTAAATTTTTCAGTATTTCTTTATCATTTATACATTTTAAAAGTATTTTTTCTTTTTTTTTGTCATTCTCTCTAAATTATAATTTATATAAAACCCTCTTTTTGAGGACGCCAATCCAAATTACATCCTCACTTATCCGAATTCTCTCCTCTTATTTTCCCTGATCGGCATCCGAATTCTCTTGTTGGCACAATGCGCGTCCTTCTTTGCAAGACTTTCATGAGTCGCATTAGAATACATGTTCTGGCTGAGAAGTCTTAAATCTTAACGAATAAGGATGACCAAGTCTTGGTGTTGCACGAGTAAGAGAAGTTGGGCGGATCAGATTTTCTTGACTGCTTCCCTCCTATGCAGTCAAATATAGCACAAGCAATCCCAATTCATACCAAAGAAGCAAACTTGGCCTTGTAATGTCGATAATATATATATACACACACATAGCACGGAGCGAATTTCAGCTCCATTGACGCTGTTAGGCTGTTAGCATTGCCTCCACGATGGTGTTGTCTTCTAATTGCTCGTCCTCTTCGCCTTCTAAACGGATCGGACCAGACTCGGTGGACCCGGCCAAATCATCTAAACTCCTTGAATCTGTTCCGCGTTCTAATTACACGGTAATTCCAAGTATTCGAGAAATTTGCTACGCAGATAAGATCATTGAAAGGGTCGAGCTTGTTGCTTGAGTTCATACTAATACTGGGCCAGTTGGATGGATATATTTTTGTAGGATGTTCTTAACGAGTTTCATCCACCCAAGCCTGGCTGGTACGAGGAGTTATTCGCATTCGTTCTGAACACCGCTACTAAATCTTATGAAGCTGAGGTTCATATCTTTCATTTTTCTGGGGTTTGAATTCATGTTGATGACTATTTGTGCTTCATTTTAATGTTTTGGGTTATTAATTGCGTTATTGGGTTCCGATTAGGTTGCGCGTTACAAATCAGAAATCTTCAGCAGTTTGAGGGACAAGGCGCAGAAAATTGTGGAGATTGGAATTGGTACCGGACCTAATCTCAGCTACTATGCTAGTAATCCCGATGTTGAGGTTGTTGGCATTGATCCGAACCAAAAGATGGAAAAGTATGCTCGGTCCTCGGCAGAATCTGCTGGCTTGCCACCTTCAAACTTTGAGTTTATACATGCTGTGCGTATAATGTTCTGTTGTTCTTCCCACTTTATTACCTCTTTCTAACAACAGGAAGAAATGAAAATGCTGTAATAAGGATGATGATGTTGAAGATGGCCATGGATTTTAACGTTGAAAAATTCCTTTTGGATTGGACTAAAAGCAACTAGATGAAATAACTAGATTTGAATGCTTATTGTTCACTGCTGTTAAATTTTGTCACCGTACTGAATTTGGAATGATAAAGCCTTGGATTTGTTCCTATATTGTGAAGGCCTTTGTCATGTAGTTCCTTTTCTACCAATGATGTCCTGCCATATGCTATCGTTTAAGCTTTCAAGCTGTTGGCTTTATTCAGGTTGGGGAGGTTATCCCATTAGATGATGCTTCTGTGGATGCAGTGGTTGGAACACTTGTCTTGTGTTCTGTTAAAGATGTTTCTATGACAATTCAAGGTAGTCAAATTTGTTAGGACCTTTCTTGCATCTCTTAGAATCTGAACTGTATAATTGCCCTTATCAATGCTGGTAAGGAGCATGTATACGCTGAATTCAACATTGTCTATCATGGTTGACAAGCTTGTTCTTCAGGCATGGCTCTCAACTAATTTGTATGATTATCATGCTTCTCCAGATTTACATCAGAAGGGAACCTAATTTAAATCCTAATCTCTCTGTGTAGAAATCAAAAGAGTTCTGCGACCAGGCGGGCTATACGTATTTGTGGAACATGTTGGAGCAAAAGGTGTAAACAGAACTATCTACTTCGCTTTTGAAATGGAATGCTGTGATTTTGGGAAGAAGCTTAATTTTGTTTGCATTCTTACTTGTGTTTGAATGGAGATGCAGAGGGAAAAGTTCTCAAATTTATCCAGAAAATTCTAGATCCTCTTCAACAGACACTTGCAGATGGGTGTCACCTCTGTAGGGACACAGAAGGCTATATATCAGAAGCTGGGTTTTCAAGAGTTGAGCTCAACACGGCGTCTTTGAAAAAAGCTACATTTGTAAACCCTCATATATATGGAGTAGCTTACAAGTAGCTTCAAGAGCTCACCAAGCAAATTGTTGCGTCCATTGGCTAGATCATCAAGTGGATAATAATAATAATTATGATATCAAAATTTTCAACAGACCACCTTCATGATGTAGAGGTTATTTTTATTTTTTTTCCTCTTCCAAATGTTTTCTTGATTTGTTTGTAATCACACGGTCTTGACCGTGGCCATGTTAATTCAGTATGATAAAGCTTCTCTCCAACCTTATAACCTTATAACCATGTTAATTATTTAATGTACATTGTGTTAAGGGTATTAATATACTACCCCTTCAATTTAAAATATAAGATATTTTTTAACAATTAATGTTGATATAAAAATACAGAACACTTTGCAAAAAGTTACTAATAACATTGAATTTTTCTTTTTCACGAATACCATTATTAATTATAATTTAAAGAAGTTTATCAAAAAAATTGTATTTTAGATCGTATATAAAAAAAATTAAAAGTAATTAAGATTGATTAATTTTAAGAAACATTAATCATTTAATTTATATAATTTTAATTTAGTTATTATTTAGTTTCAATAATTTTGACTCAAATAAAACCAAGTTCTTAAATTTTAACTCATTTACAACTCAGTTTTTATAATTTTAGTAATTTAAAACTTTAGTTTTAAAATTTAAAAATATCTTTAGTCTCATAAGGTAATTGTTTTCATAATTATAAATTTCAAAACATTAGTTCTTAATTTAAAACTTCGTAATTGTTTTCATAATTATAATCAAGGGCTCCAACAATGTGAATAGGTACAACCATTTTAGATGAATTACCTTTTTTATGTAGCGTATTTTTTCTATAAAAAAATGCTAGAATACAAAGGTTGTTTATTATATATTTTATATTTTTTTGCCGGAATATATTTTATATTTCATATTAACATCAATGATAACTTTCTAATACATCAACGACTGATTCCTATTGGTTGCCCCAAAAAAAATTGACAAATTACTATTAATGATGGATTATTAAAAAAAAAAACCAACACAACATTCAAGCTCGATTGTTTAAAAATGATGGTCTGCTAATTGAACTAACACACTCAGTTCAATTAATCAGTTATACTAATTTTATGATGAAAGGGATTATCAGTGAGATGCAGAAAATTTTGACAAGTCAAGATCGGGTCGGGCCACTTGGACGGGTCAGCCCATATCCTGGATTCTCCTTATTCGTCTGGCTTTTGCCTGTATTCCTCAGCCAAATCTGATTGTTTTGTAACTAATTTTTCACTCTCCTCCTTCTGACTGACCCTCTTCCTCGCATTTCTCACCCGCATCACGCTGCACCATCAGTGTGTGTGTACATATATATTCACCATTGTATGTTCCATAAAATTCTCAAGGCAATGAATGAAATACTATAATTTAATTGCTTTTGTGACTCACTAACTCTTACTAAACACCATATTTCTTGCCATAAAGTGTATACTAATGGTACGCTTAGGTGGCCCTCTGTTGATGTTGCGCCAACTGTGGCCCTTTGTTAATGTCGTTGTCAAGCCATGGCTGCGGAAGTGGTCTTCAGAGCCAAAAGGAAACCTGCTCAGTCGATTGATTTTTACAAGGGACACAAAGGTTTGGATTACCATGAAACTTTCTCTTCTGTTGTCAAAACTGTCACGATTCGCTTTGTCTTGGCTCTTGTTGTTTCTAGAGGTTGTCCTATTAGTCATGAAACTTGTTGATCTTTTTTCTTCTGCTTCTCAATTACATCCTTATCTGTTTATTTATGTTTCTGGTCAATATCAATTAGCTTATCTTCCTACCAAACCCATTCCTACCTCAAGATTTACATGGCTCAGGTCGAACCTCACTGTAATTTCATCACTGTTGGGTTCAGGTGGGGTGTTAGGGCAATAAAAGATCAGTCATCTGCAACATCAGAGTCAAAGGATGATTTTGGTTATTCACCTCAACATTCCATCACCTGATTGTCATATGCTCTGAGCTGTACATCCTTTTGCCTTTGTCCTTTTCTATCTCTCACTCATCATTAGCCACGTGTCTTGGCCAAGGGTTTGTTACTCTCTTAACAATTGTAAGTGCTTATGCAAGCAATGAATACACAAGAATGATTCAGTATAATACTTTTATTTTCTCTGAAACATACTAATATAGGTCTAGTTGGATGAACTTTTGTTTTCTGGGGATTGGATTCATGTTGAAGAATATTTGTTGTTCATTTTAATGTCGAGTTATTAATTGCATTGGGTTCCAATTTGACTTAGTTTTTTTTCCCCTGTTTGCTTAGGTTGAGCGTTGCAAGTCAGAAATCTTCAGCAATTTGAGGGACAAGACGCAAAAAATTTGGAGGTTGGAATTGGTACAGGAAATGTGATGCAAAACACACACGCACACGCTCATATTGATTTGAACAGAGCTGGAAGAGGGAGATACAGCAGAAACAGAGATGGAAATCGAGAACAGATAGGGGGAGAAAGAGAGAATGAATCAGAATGTAGGGAGAGAGAGAACAATCAAAATATCATCTCTAATATTCATTCGTCATCCAAGACGTCCAGTACAAATGGTAACTTAGTCTATTTATAGACTAAGCTTTCCTTCCCCTTAAGAAATCTCAACTTGCAAATTAAAATATATAAAGAGCAAAAAGCAAAAGTAAGTCAGATTTCCTTCCTTAGAAGGAAACCTACAAAATACTAAATAATGCAAAAACAATTATTTCTTTCTAGAATAATATCTGCCATATTTTCTATCAATTCTCCCCTGCTGCAAAGAACTCTCCTCCAGAGAGATAGAGAGTTGATAGGCTTCTAGCAAGGCAGGATTAAGTTGTTGGAATTCATCTTCTAAAATCCAGGTGACATCTTCATCAGATCGACCTCTCCAACAAACCAAATAATGACAGACGGACCCCTCAGAGGTCAAGACCATTTGATCATCCATAATGGTCTCAATTTCATCAACTGATGGTGAGACAGCAGGTAATGATAGAGTTGGCACTTGTGAAGGCTGAGTACCTGCAGAATCATTAGAAAGCAAAGGGGGAGGCTCAAAAGTTTCCCAGTAAGGCATAAGATCCTTTACATTAAAAACTGGACTTATGGCCATATCAAAGGTAATTCTAAAAGATAAGCATTAGATCCTAATTTCTTTGTTATGTGAAAAGATCCTGAAGCTCGAGCATGCAACTTTTTAAAAGCGTGTTTAGGGTAACGTTCTAGACGAATGCGAGCCATAACCTAATCACCTATATTGAAGCTTTGAAATCGGCAATGAGTATTAACAGATAATTTATATTGATCATTACTCGTTGCTAATTTGCGCCTAATTTCAGCATGTAATTCATGAAGGCGATTGGCAAAAGATTCTGCAGATTCAGAGATGCGAAATGTCAATAGGATTGGCAAGAGGTCAATAGGCTATTTAGGATTAAAACCTTGAACAATCTGGAAGGGACTCATGCCTGTAGACCTATTCGCTGAATTATTATATGTAAACTCTGTAGTGGGTAAAACCAAATCCCAGTTCTTCGACCTATCTCTAACTAAACTCCGAAGCAAATTACCCAAACTGCGATTAGTGACTTTAGTTTGCTCATCAGTTTGGGGGTGGAAAGCAGAAGAGAACTTCAATTGGGTACCAAAAAGTGTCCATAGGGTCTTCCAAAAGTAGCTAACAAACTTAACATCTCTATCAGATACGATAGTGGTAGGTAACCCATGTAAACGCATAATCTCCTTAATGAACAACTTTGCCAAATGTGAAGCGTCCGTTGTTTTGCTATAAGGAATAAAGTGAGCCATCTTTAAAAACCTATCCACAACAACTAATACAGAGTCATGACCTTTAGCTGTGCGAGGCAATCCTAAGACAAAATCCATACTTAAGTCTTTCCAAGGTGCCTTGGGAATCGACGAAGGAGTATACTAACTGGTATTTTGTCACCTGGCTTTAGAAGTTTGACAATTTCAACATTGAGATACTATGCGAGCCACATCACGCTTGAGTGAAGGCCAGTAGAACTTATCTTTGACTAATGCCATTGTCTTATTAACCCTGAAATGACTAGCCAAACCTCTAGCGTGTAACTCCCATATAAGAAAATCTCGCATAAAAGTACATGGGATGCATAGCTTGCTTCCGTGAAAGAGATGACCGTCTTTAAGGATGACAACATGCTCATGATGGTTACCACTGCGAACTTCTTGGTATATGATCCCAAAATCTGGACATGAAGCATAGTCTTCTTTTAAGTTTTCAAAACCAACAACACTAATGCTCATAGTATGCAACAAGTTGATCCGACGGCTTAGGGCGTCAGCCACTATATTTTTTATTCCTGAACGATGCTTGACTACAAAAGTGAATCCTTGAATATACTCAACCCATTTAGCATGTTTAGCGTTTAAGTGCCACTGAGAGTTGATAAACCTAAGCGCCTGATGATCAAAGTAAAGAACAAATTGTTGCGGAAGAAGATAGTACTTCCAATGCTCAAGGGATCTCACAATTGCATAAAATTCTTTATCATAAGTGGAGTACTTTTGTTTGGGATCATTGAGCTTTTCGCTAAAGAAAGCTACAGGGTGACCTTCTTGGCTTAGTACAGCTCTGATTCCTATCCCAGACGCATCACAAGCAACTTCAAAACACTTTGTAAAATCAGGTAAAGATAAGACTGGAGCTTGAGAAAGCTTTTTCTTAATATCTTGGAAAGCCACAGAAGCTGTAGAAGTCCACTGAAACTTGTCTTGTTTTAAGCAATCAGTGATAGGAGCCATAATGGTACTGAAGTTTGTAATGAAGCGTCTATAGAAGCAAGGCCATGAAAACTCCATACTTCATGGAGAGATTGTGGCTCAGGCCATTCTTGAATGGCTTGGACTTTCTCAGGGTTAGCTGCTAAACCCCTTTCAGAAACTATGAAACCCAAAAAGATGACTTGTTTTGAAGAAATGAACACTTATGCAAGTTAACATAAAACTGTTCTTGACGCAAGGTAAGAAAAATTAACTCGAGATGTTCCAAATGTTCTTCTTTTGACTTGCTAAAAACTAGTATGTCATCAAAGTATACCACCAAAAATTTTTCTAAGTATGAGCGAAAGAGGTGAGTCATTACTCTCATGAATGTACTTAAGGCATTTGATAACCCAAAAGGCATGACAAGCCATTCAAACAACCCATCTTGCATTTTAAAATCAGTCCTTCACTCACCTCCAGGTCGAATCCTGA